TGTTCACAAAAGTTTCCCATAAGAATCTCAGTGCGCGTCAAGTTTGAGGCATTCATTACGCAAAATGGCAACGCGTTTTTACCCTTCGCTGTGCTCGGACCTGTTCACTTCATGTATCATGGACTGAACAATATGGCTTGTCACGACACAGCGCAGAAAAACGATCAACGCGACTGTACTACAACGAACGAAGACCTAGCAAACGATATTCAGCCTTATGACAACGCGAGAAAGATTGTTCAAGCTGTTTTTTTTTAAATGTGAAATATGCCCGGCTGTCCATTCTGCCAGTAGGCGTGGGTCACTTTGCGTTTGCATTATTTTCGCGACGTTTATTAAACTGGTCTTTCAGTGTATGGGATAAGTTTGCATTGATAGCTCCTTAAATATTTGCCGGTCACTCACCTCGATTGGGTTTTGTTTTCGGACGATAATTCTTTTTACATTTATATTGCAAATATTTGCATCAGGTATTAGAAGATAGACTACGAATAATTGTCAATTTTTTTTTAATTACTTATACATATATACTGGTTTAAGATTCTTAGTATGTTGTACCTTTAAACTTCTGTATGTTATGCTAATAAAATTAATTAATCCTTAATAAAAAAGTCCAATCTTACTAATATTATAAAAGCGAAAGTTTAGGTGGATGGATGGATGTTTGTTAGAGTTTATAGCCTAAACGGTTAAACGGATTTTGATGAAATTTGGTATAGATATAGAAAATAGTCTAGAAGAACACATAGGCTACTAATTTTATTTTAATTCTACGCGGACGGAATCACGGGCAAAAGCTAGTAATCATTTGGCTATTATATTAAGTATATTTATGTTTTAACTGTCATTTACGAAACATATTCGTCTTGATGGCCTGTCATTTGGAACGGCTGTATTAATTTAATTTAAAGATGAATTTGCGCGGGAAAATTGCTTAATGGCCCACACGGCGTTGGTACAGTATAAGTTAATTTGGAAAGCAGTTATTATGTCATGTTGCGGTAATAATTTTGTCAACGATAAATAAAATAAGTTTATTCGAATCAATACACAAAATGAAAATGAAATAGATAAATAAAATTTGTCCAAATTTTACAATACCAATTTTAAAACGATTATAAACATCTCTATTACAAAATTCTTTTAAAATGGTTTCTTAAAAAGCCTCAAAAATTTAAATGCGACGATTGAACCGATTTTCTAAATTATTAAGTCTAAAGTAACAACAGAAAGGACCATAATTTTGTTATTCCATACACTGTGTTTATGTTAAACGACACTTTATTATCCAGTGTTTATCCGTTTTGTGGAATTAGAGAAAGAAATCTTTTCCATTGTAATTGTGGAGTTGGTAAAAAATTGCCCCCGACGCGCCGGCGAGGGCAAACGACACTTTAATTTTCCTGAGAAATGGATAATGATATGGCAACACCGGTGTTTATTCGAGTTACACGCCGTAATCGAGTGACAAACGATTCTAAAAGGCGACAATCAAGTTTGTTGTGGGTTACAGAGCGTAAAGGAAAGGGCCCGGTCGCACCATACTAGATTAATTTTATTTTATTCTTGTACTTGTATTTTCTTTTTTCGTCGGTTATCCTTTACTTATTCAATTTGTTTAATTGAACTGTTGTAGATAGAATATAATTCAAAATACATTTATTACTTTAAAACAAATGCCTTTAAAGGAAATAAAATTATGTAGTTTGTTTGGTTCTTACAACGTAATCTTCTTTGGAATAAGCTAATTACAAAAATGTAAAGAGTGAAAGAGACAGAAGTATTCATTTTATAAATGACATCAAGTATTATCTGGATATAATTTACAGAACTATTAAAATGTCATTTTTATAATTCTATTGTCTGTTAACTTGTCAGCCAACTGACGCGAAGTTAACGGAAAGTTAAGTTAGTTTAACTTTGACAACGCAAGCTGGCCTCAAATACTTACGAAATGAATAGTAATTTAGTTTTAGGATTAAATCGTTCCGAACACGCGACACAAACCACTTTTCTATTCGGTCGAGTCGACTTGGAACCGTCATTTTACACAATTTTACCCATTCGCTCTCCGTTCTCGGAATTAATTTGATATTAGCCTTTGAAAACGCAAGGTGTGGTTTTGTATCGGACCGATTGTTATTATAAAGACGCATTTAGCTGTTACTCGTGTGTTTACGCTCGTTTCGACTCGATCTGTAGATTAGGCGCATTAGCAATTTATTTAATAATTTATCTTCAATGCTTAGGTTTTAAACCTTGAACTTATTGACGGTTAACAATTTAGATCAACCGTTCCAGAATTATGGTAATTAAGGTTTTAAAATCTTTAGTCATAATAAATGCTTTTATGCCATTGAGAAATTGTCAACACTTGATTTAATTCATTTATACGACTAGATTAATGATTTGTCAGGCAAAATTTGCGTTTTAAACATATGATAGTTTACCTAGGAGCCATCGAATTACAGACATATTAAAAAAGAACTACTTAACAGTATAAGTAATGTAAATTGTATTTATTGTTCCAGGAATCGCAATCAACGAGCAATGAAAGATGGAACGGTCGCGGCCCCGAGCACAACATGGCGTTGCAACAAATACTCAAACTGCAAGAGGCGAGAGCTCTCCACAAGACGTCCCTGCTACCCATTTACAAAAAGAACGGGATTCCTTCACCGCCGGCCTCTAACCAAGAATATGAACAAAAGCGACTTGATAACTATCCTGAACAGGTTTTAGAACAGTTAAAACTTGAAGAAGAGTTCAGAAGACTGATGGAGAGATCCGCCAGCGAAGCTCGTAGTGATGAATCCTTAAAATACTTCCAACACATGATGGAAGCGAGACAGCATTTTGAATATCTGAAGAACATGAAAGACAGAGATATAAAAAATACCTATTCAGAAGAAGACAACTTGGAATCAAGAAAGGAAACAAAACAATATGATAATAAATTTTCACCGATCCACAAACAGTCTCCTCTACGGACTTCACCAGCTGAAGTTTCACCCAATCATAGTGTTCGCTTATCTACCTCATCCAGTCCACTCTCTACAACTAGTCCAATGAATTCCTCGCCACTTAGTCATCTACAAAATATGCAACCCTTTGATTTTCGTAAGCATAAATTACCTGAAAGCAATACTAAAGAAGAACCAATAAAACAGAACTATGATGTTAATAGTGCCGAAAAAGCAGCATTAGAATTAATGAGGAGCCAACTTTTTAACTTTCAATTACCATCTAATTTACCGATTCCTCCCATGACAATGCCATCTACGTTCACGCACCCCGCAGCGATGGTTGCAGCACTTAGTCAAAATCCTATGGGACTAGCGTCATTACAAGCCTTATTACCTCAGATGTCGGCAAAAGTCACTGAACCAGTTGAATCTAAACTAAGCAACGGGCTCGGCAACAGCAGATCTGATGAAAGAGTTGAAGATGAAAATGTTCTTAATTTAAGTAAGGATGCATTCGCGGAGGCGACTCAAAAGTCGAGAGAATTGATGATGAGTAAATGCTTAAGCCCACCGAAGAGACATTGGGGTGCATCACAAATGCCTTTAAATTTAGGAACGCATTTTATCAATCCAGCCACTGGTAAGAAAAGAGTTCAATGTAACGTATGCCTTAAGACGTTTTGCGATAAAGGAGCACTAAAAATTCATTTTTCCGCTGTACACTTGAGAGAAATGCACAAGTGCACTGTTGAAGGCTGCAGCATGATGTTTAGTTCTAGAAGATCTAGGAATAGACACAGTGCAAATCCTAATCCAAAACTTCATTCGCCACATTTGAGGCGTAAAATTTCACCTCACGATGGCAGAAGTGCACAAGCTCATTCCGTTCTACTCTCACAACACGGAGCAGGTTTGAATATACCTCCAGTTATGAATCCGATGCATGCGTTTGGATCATATCCCATGATGAACCCATCACAAGGCATGCGACCATACTCTACGAATATACCATTAGATTATAAAAATAATGTAAATTTCCACCCTCACTACGATCAGTCACATTTGATGCGACGAGAATCTAACTCGGAAGATAACAAAGATCAAGAGGTTCAGGGTGAGTCTGACGAAGATGATGGTATTGTCGTCGTAGCGGGAGACGAAGATGACGATGATAACGAACATATGGACACCAGCGATTATTATTCTAACCTAAATAAGTCAATAGGATCATTAGAAGATTCGGAAACTGATTTTGATCAAAGAAGTGTAAGTGATAACAATGACAACAGAAAAGATGGTGCAATCAGTCCCGAAGTTATGAAAAGAAAACGAAAGAATTTGAATCCTATTCGTTTACAAAGTAATAACAATTTAGAACAGCAAGAAAATGTCAGTGACAATAACGATTGCCGGACAGAGAGTGCTGATGATAATTTAATAGATCCAAAAAGAATAAAATGTGACGAAGATGAAAAAAATGATAATTCCCTAGTGACAATTGAAAATGGAGACATACCTAAAATAAAACAAGAGATAACAGAAATTAAAAAAGAACCTTCAGAAGTAGATTTCAATCCACAAGATTTAAGAATTAAAGAAGAACCGCGCGATAAAGAAGATTCTTTTAAGCAACTACCAAAGTTACAGACTAATAGTGAACTGTTTTCATCTGAAAATGCATTAAAACGCCTTGAGAGTTTATCAAGAGGAGATTTTCCAAATCTAGCTAAAAGAATTGATTCTACTCCTGGAGGTCCATATAATTTATCAATGCATGAAACAATGGAATTTTCTGACAGATCTCCTTCGTCGTCCGTATCGAGTTACGATTATGTTCCAGATGACGGTCACGGCCAAATACAAGGTCACTTCGAGAATGGTTTCTTCGTTGTCACGTCCGATGTTCCAACGGATCATGAAAACCCTCTGAAATGCACCGTTTGTGACAAATTATTTCAAAATATATTCATTTTAAAGACTCATTACCAGAACACGCATTTAAAAATAATGTACAAATGCAGCAATGAGAGCTGCAGAGCATCATTTACTACGAAACAAAGCAGAGACCGACATAGTTGTAATATTAATCTACATAGAAAGGTTTTTTCAATGTGCGGTCGAACAGACGAATCTCCAATCAAAATGCTGGATAAGATTCGTGAACAAATGGATTTAATAGCGAAATTCAACGACGATGAACGTGTGATCCCTTATATTGAGGCACAAAAGTACTATCAAGCGAAAGAATCTGAGAAAACAAAGAATCATTTGAGTCAACAAATACCATTTGGAGCGCCATACCCGCCTCTTCAACTTCCTGAATCTTATTTAAATGGCCGTGATATGTTCAACCAACAGCCATTTCTCTTTACGCCTTTCGGTATGCTACCAAATTTCCCTGCTCTCCCATTCGGGTTCCTTCCTCCAAATCTAACTCCTTTCGGCTGTCATACCCAAGGCTATCCACCTATGTTAAGAAAATTAAATTATTGCATAGAAGATGAAGCTCCCAGACCTAACAAAGATGGTTCATACCCTTGTAGAGGTTGTAGAGAGGTGTTCAAAGATCTGATGGGTTTGAAAGTTCACTGTGAAAGTGTACATGTTCAGTCCTTACATAGATGTTCAGTAAGTGGTTGTAATGCTGCATTCTTTTCTAGAACTAAAAGAAACATTCACTCAGAAGCCCACCTTAGTTCCAGACGCCAGAACGGAAGAAGTCTTCATCTTGTAAATTCTACGTGATCTGTTTAATAGTTTAAAAATATAAATGCATTTGTGATGTTTTAGAGTAACCAAATATGTATTCAATGTAGTTATTTGTTGATACCAGTTCTGAATGAATTATTAAAAATCAATAAATTCAATTTTAAATCTTATATTGTCAATGTTTCTTGCTTAAGGCGGCTGTGTACATAATTAGGACTTTATCGCTGTAGTAGATAATTAGAATTGTACATTTTGACATTCCATAGTAATAATTGTGCAATAACTGTATATAATAGTAAATAATGTACAAAGCCTCAATAAATGAAATCAAATTGAATTCTTTTGTGTCTTAAAGGATGTCTTTGCCGTTCAAATTATATAAAAAAACAATAATTTATCATAGTTTAAAAAATATTCGAAATAAGATAATATCTCTTAATTTTGGTGCTACATAAATGTTTCGTGTACGTACTTCTAGAATATTCCTGTCTCTAGATTTAATATGTACAATTCGTATGTGTGATTTTGTTATATAGGATAAATAATACATAAGAACCAAAAAGTATTATATACGTAGAATTACGTTTAAGATACGGAATAAAATAATAGAGTAATCCTTCCTTTTGCCAAACAAATACTAAGTATGAAATAAAAGTTTAAAAAATACAAATGTCTTTCTTTTCATATTCATCCAACAATAAAAATATTATTTACTAGCTGTAGCTCGTGACTTCGCCCGTGTGAAAAAAAAATTAACATAGACTTACGGACAATGTAAGCTACATTAATCTAATACTGAAAGATTTATTTCAATCGGCCCAGTAGTTTTTGAGTTATTTCAATACATACATAAATAAAAATCTTTTCTATTTAAAATATTAATTGTTGTTATTTTCATATTAGTGTAACTTTCAAACTGTAAATCTAAAAAAAAACTGTAAACTATCCCTCTAATTAACATTGAAAAGGTAAAAATAACATCATAATAAAGACTGAAAAAAATTCGAATTGAATCGAAATCAAACATGCTTTACACTGAAGTATTTCAAAATAAAACTACACACAATGAGTTACATTACCAGCCAATTAAATATGTCAATATAATTTCTCATTTCCTTTGATTTCGAATATAAGGTTTTATCAAAATTTAAATGACCATAATCCCATATTTTGAGTTGCTTCTCAAATATGATATCAATCTTGTTTTAGTCGAATTGATAATTTTCCTTGGGACTCAGATATTTAAATATTTTTGTTGGTAATACTCAAATTTCCAACTTCTTCATAAAGATAAAATAACGTAAAACGAGCTTAGCTTACATTATACAAAGAAAATCATAATCTTACTAATATTATAAATGCGAAAGTTAAGATAGATGGATATTTGGTAGAGTTTGTAGCCTAAACGGCTGAACGGATCTCGATGAAATTTGACATAGACGTAGTGGATCCAAAAGAACACATAGGCTATCTGCTTTCTTTTTTTATAATTCCACACGAAAAGAGTCGTAAGCTAGTTACGTATATTATATATGTAATAAAATAAAGGTATTTTTAACGAAAAACATTTTCAAGCTGACATTGCCAACAAGCTTTACTTATTCTCAATTAACTCGATAAGGGCGCAATTAAATGTAGCAGCATTTCACGTCACGTGACAAGTAGCTGTCCCGTCATCCTGTCACGTCACGTGACGCGCCGCTGTCCCGCCACTTGGTGACGTTACGTGACACGCTACTGTCCCGCCACCCTATCACGTCGTCCTGCTGTCGCACAGGGTGACATCGCGTGCAATCTCTCTTTAATTTTTAAACTATTCTATTAACGAGCGACATCGTATCAAAGGGAGCCCTTACAAATTGATTTCGTGTTTGTATGACTTCTCATTAACCGTTGTTTTCATTTAGAATTATAATGGCTATCAGCGTACAATCGAATTTCCTGAAATTAACCTCAAATAATAAATGCTAGGTATTTAACGGTAAGTTTTATCTACGTTGAGGAAATAAATACATCAGCTCTTTTAAAATGGGAACAATAAACAATTTTCTTTATCCAATCTATACTTTATTTACTACTTTATATTTAAAGGTAAGACGGTTAGGATAATAAAGTAAAATTAAACACAATATAGTAAATATATTAAAGCATAAATAGGAATTATTAGATAGACAAAGTTTTTAAAACGCCTTTACCATTCCAAAATTTCGTTTTCAACTGCCATGTCCCTTTAACTATAGATACTAATATAATAAAGCGTAAACACACTACTTCGTGGTGTACGATGTAAGCAATCGCAGCATATTTTTGAATAATTATTTCTTTAATAAAAAACCTTATACTTATGACACGCTTTAGACACATTATATTTTCACGGTATTAAATTTCGGTGGTAAATAAATGGGTACAAACTACAAGCTGCAAACATTAAGTAAGCAAGGTTAATACGGTAATGGTAATTGTGACATATGTAAATACTTACTTCTTGCTGATAAATGCGAAAGTTTAGATGGATGGATGCTTGTTAGAGTCTGTAGCCTAAACGGATGAACGGATCTCGATGAAATTTGGCATAGACGTAGAGGATAGTCTGGAAGAACACTTTTGTTTTTTTTTAACTCCACACTGACGGAGTCGCGGGCGAAAACTAGTATTAAAATAAAGCTTTTTATAATTTCTTAGGGATGAAGCCGCAAGGGAACAGCTAGTATCTCATGAGTTGTAATCATAACGTAGGTCGCCACTTGGTCCGAACAATACGCATCGCAAGCGTTAGTCTCATTAACATAATCAACTCTCATCAGCCACATTTGCATCCGAAACGCACGACGAATTAAATTCTAAATACTGCTACTATCACGAAAATAACAATCAAATGTGAACTCTATCTTGTACAGAATAAAGTCTAAATTGTAATCTCAGTATGAATAATAACTAATATGTTGCGGTTGCCGTATTCAAAATAAGTATCAGAACGTCTCGCTTGTCAGCAATTTGTTTTGAACAGAACACTTCTAATTCGCAAAAAGAACGACCGTTCTATGTTTAAAAAGTAACGTCACGCAAACTTGTAAAGTTGCGTACACACTATACGACTTTTGTAAAAATTATGAACACTAAACTTTTAATTCGTTAGAACTTTAAATTGGTATATCTTTTTTAATGTTTTAATGATAGGGAATTTAGTCGAATTACAAGTTTTTTTTTCATCATGGTAACGGTAGATTTCGGTTAAAAATAACAAATTTCATCTAAATTTTTTAAGATACGGACGGAATTTTAAACGGCAAATATTTTTTTTAACCTTTGACATTACAATAGGCAAACACTTTTAAACTTAAATATTTAAAAAAATATCTGTGGTAAATAAAAAAAATTAGAGCAGGACAGTGTAATCACTTCTTAATAGTTCCGAATTTGTATTTGAAAAGTTCGAAATGGGGCTTTCTAGAAGCGTTTTTTTTTCAGCCGCCATTATGGCTTTTTAAGGAGCTATGGCCGTTATTACGTGCAGCCAGTAGAATATTTAGTGGCGCCCTAATGTACATAACTTAGAACTCTTAGCAAACGTCCTGAACAATATAATGAAGATTTAATGCCTTGTATATATCCAATATTTTTTCTGGAGCTAAAATAAATTAGGTTTAGGGAATATTTTTCAAAGAAAATTTTACTTGACAGTTACATTTTAAAAAGGATATCTCACAGTTAAAATAGG